TTACAAAAAAAAATAACAAATAACAATAAAAAATAATATATAATAAAAACCATAGATCAAGATCAAATAATATGAGATAAAATTATTTGAAAAAAATAATTTATTCACATATATTATAAATATTCTTATTTTATTTTTATATAATTATATATATTATACATTTATTCATAGATTGAATTGTTGGTATATCTTTGCGATAACGGGGCCACTGAGCCGATGGCCTTGTAGTTATGTGGTGTTTGTAATGTTTTCAGGGTGGATTTTAACGTATATTCAACCAAAACAAAGAAGAATATGGATAATCTCTCCTACCTACGGTGGTGACATGTTAATATGTTCACCGTTTATGTGGCATGCACACATTGGTGATGGTAATATATTAAAAAAAATACATCACCAATAAGTGCATGCCACTGGCAGTGGACATATTAATATGTGCCCACCGTGAGTAGGGAGCATTACTCAGAAGAATATATGGCTTGTATTTGTAGATGAATTAAGGCTTCTGCACGGACTATTATGTATTAAAAGGATGGGCCGCTTCCAAACTTCTTTTCTACACAGAGCCTTTGGAAGGCTGAAGAAAGACTATAACAAATCAAAACCCTTGTCCAAGCATGTCAATTAACTAATCAAACACCATTGTATGTACGTACGGAGAGAATAAATAAAACAAAAACCCATCAGCTTAATTTTTTTTATTATTATAAAGAGAAAAACACTGTAACTGAGTATGAACAAGAAATGAGCATGATACTTGGACAGTAACTGGGTTTAATGCCCCTTCAACTGCACAAGGGTGTTTTTGTGAGGGAAACAACCAATTGCAAATAATCCCCCACCCAACTCTTTTGATAAGGGTGGGATCCATCCGATTTCTCCAGTAGCAATAACAACGTAGAAAACCTTGCAAGGCTCGTTTATGGACGTACCTTTAAACACCAACACTTCCATCTGCTGCAACCAACCGACGGGTTGAATACAAAACAAAGATTGAATTTCAGTTCCCAACACAATCTTACGTTCCCATTCCCTCCAATAATAATAATAATGATCTCCACACACCATCTCCCAAACTTGAAACACAAACTCCTCAACTTGAACCACTAGAGTGAGGGACTTCCCAGTTGACAGGTACTGCTTCTTGCCCTTGGGATACTCGGAAATTGGTGCCCTCATCTCCGTCGTAACCTCGGTCTCCAAATTCAGTGTCAGGACAGTGTCCCGTAAAAGGAAATGAATAAAACCCTCCGTCACCAACAGGTGTCTGAGTGCAACCTCCGTCGAATGTTGGTTGGTTGCAAGATTCCTCCACCAACTATCGACACCCACTGTCAATATGGCCCACCTCGCGTCCCTTCCCGCATCACTGTATGCCAAGGCCACCTTGTAAGCCTTGGAGGCCTCCGCGTACCCCACGCAACACTGCATAAACTTTGCGTTTTCGGGGAACGGAGGGAGTCGGAAGGCTCGTCCCGTGACGGGGTTGACCAAGAGGACGCCAGATGAGGGAACACGAGAATCGTACTCCGGGATGAGGCCGTTGCAGCCACTCCAGAATCTGGATTTGGAAGCATAGTAGTGATCGGATACTGTGACGCGTCCCTGTTTCATAGACACGAAAGTCACGTCTGGGGAGGAATATTGATCATTATTAACAAGCCCATGTATTGGGGTATATATGAATCGGAACAAGAGGCCGTAATCCTCAGTTTGCTGCCGGAGGTGGAGGTTTACGAATTCCTCGGATTGGATCGTGCGGTAGTATAGCCTCCGGCAGACACGACTTGCCGCGTAATAAATGTCTTGAGCCGAGAGGTTCAACAGGATCTTCGAGAGAAGATCATCGGGAAGGGAAATTAGGAGATTGTTTTGCGCACAAAGCTTTTTGCCGTCTGCAATGCCCTCTGCTTCAGAAGCTTCGCCGGACGAAGGTGGAGACGACGGCGGCGGCAGGCGGAAGATTGACGATGGAAATTTGGCCATGACGATTTCGAATTGTTTGTTTTGATGTG